GCAGGAGTTGCATTCAGACTGCCTGATCCCACTGAAGTCAGCGAGAAAAGGTAGCCATTACAGTGGTACCTCTGGTTACGTACTTAATTCATTCTGGAGGTCCATTCTTAACCTGAAACCGTTCTTAACCTGAGGTACCACTTTAGCTAATGGGGCCTCCCGCTGTGCTGCCAGCGCACAATTTCTGTTCTCATCCTGAGGTAAAGTTCTTAACCTGAGGTACTACTTCCAGATTAGCAGAGTCTGTAACCCGAAGTGCCTGTAACCCGATGTCTTTGTAACCCAAAGTACCACTGTACTACCTTAAGTCCCCCATTCAATGGGTATTCATCATAATTACTTTTTCTCAATTCATCCCTTATCATAATCCTGTCAACATACACAGGGAAACTCCACTCTTTACATAGCAAAACATATTTCTATCCATACTGACCATGCTGTGGCTGGTGCTTCCTGTAGCAACGGTCAAAAGCGCATGCACTAAACATGTAAAGCAAAGGCATGCATACATGTACACACATTCAAGGACCAGGGCCCAAGCAGCCATGTGAAAGCAACATAGGTGCTAGCTCTTAGGGGCTCAGCCCCCCAAAGTATGCGGGGACAGGGCTGAACCCCCCAATATTGAGGGACTGGGTCCCATCGGGCCTCCCTGCAATGGTGGTGGGCCTCCCCAGGCCTCACGGCCTCCTCCCGATACATGTGTGACACCACACACATGTGGCGAGCCCCCCTCCAATGTCTCATGGAACTCAGCACCTCTGGAAAGTGACAAACTCATTTTCCCTGTAATGTTTTAGAGCTGCCCCCATGTCTTCTTTCGATATTACAATATTTACTCTCAGGACGGTACCAGCAAGTCATTCCCAACTTGAGAAAGATTGACGGTTCGTCAGAGTTTGGCTTTCTCAAGCTGTTTGTAGGATTCATGGTTTAGTCTCACCTGACTCTTAAATTGATAAGAATTAGAAACTATTTCAACAGGATGGGTTTTGTGACAGGAATAATGTTTCCCACACAGTTCTAAAAGTAAAATAAAACAGCATAGTTGGAAAAGGTCTTATCATGTCAGTTCACAATGGTGCATGTGTATTAAACCATTGCGCCTTCATCCCAGTTAATCAAATATATATTTGCTCTTAATGCCTATATAGAATTTATGATTCATGTAAGATGATATTAATATGTGGCGTCTCATTTTCTTTAGATTCCACCTCCCGTGATACCTAATACACAGATTGCAACTAAGAATGATAGAAAAAGACAAAGTTGAGTTTGAAAAGTTAAAGCCCCATGACCAGAATTCTGTGCTCTCTTATAAAAGTAACAAAGGAATATTTCTATTTTAGTAAGAGAAAGATGAATTGATACACTGTAATAGGGCCTAATCTTTCTAATACATATGGTGTCATCCAACTAAGAACAGATCTATTGACCTCACTGGGCTTAAGTTAGTCATGACTAATTTAATTATCCTATTTGGTCTATTCTAAGTATGACTCAGTTGGATACAAACCATAACCATTCACTTATATCCTGACTTTTAAAGCATTCCCTACAAGACCACTGAAGCCAATATCACAATTACACGATGAGAGTGGCTGTGTGTGTGTGTGTGTGTATCAGTGAGGACAGAGTAAATACCGTATTTTTCGCTCTATAACACGCACCCGACCATAACACGCACATAGTTTTTAGAGGAGGAAAATCCGTAGGCATGCCACCCGTAGGCATTTCCTCCATAACACGCACAGACATTTCCCCTTACTTTCTAGGAGGAAAAAAGTGAGTATTATGGTGCAAAAAATACGGTACATATAGCCAAGCTCTCATCAACTCATCGCATACCCATCAACTGCCCTGGACAGTGGTCAAAATGGCCACCACAATCTCATGCTATTTCAGGCTGCACTTTGGGGAGGGGCACTTTTGGGGTGCCATGCATGCAAAAAGTGCTTTTGGTGAGGCCGCAACCTCACACAGGTCACGTGACAAACGTGTTGACCTGGAAGATGGCTTCCTGGATTGTGTCCACATTGTGTTGGAAGGTATGCATGGGGTAGCTTGCAATGGTCACTGAAGGAAAATGTGATTAGGTGAATTGGTCCAATACTAAGGGGATGGAACATAGCTCACACTTTTCATACGGAAGATACCGGGTTCAATCTGATTTGAAAGAATCAGATAGCAGGGGAATGAGAAATTCCTCTCCTTAAGACCTCAGAAAACTACTGCTGGTGAGAGAGGACAATGTTGGGCTATATAAGCAAATGATCTGGCCTGGTGCAAGACAGGTTCCTCCATCCCTCAAGTTCCATTGCTACATCTGTTGTTATTTCACAATTGGTAAATAAATGATCTCTAGGAGCATATGCCCTGCTCATGCAATCTCTTCACCACTGTTTTATGGCAGATAGATTAAATAACCAGTAACATAAGCATAGCTGTCAACGTTTCCCTTTTTTTAAGGGAAATTCCCTTATTCCGAATAGGATTCCTCACAAGAAAAGGGAAAAGTTGACAGCTATGAACATAAGTAGCTTTTATTTTATAATGACTCATGTTAGTGTGAATAAAGGGGCAGCAGCAAGAAACTGCATGTTGCTTCCTATTTTTCAGAAATCATTTAAGATTTATATTTTTCCATGGTGCAGCTACTTAACCCCATGTGAAAATACGGTTCCCTATTCAGTAAGCATGAAAGTCACATTGTAAAGGCCAGGAACTGAATTCTCAAGCCTTCTGAGAGCCAGAACACTCCCCCCCCCCAAAAAAAGTGACAATTGGAGGCAGACGTTACCATTGCATTTGAAAAACTGACATTTTAGAGTAAGAACTACACACTTTCAGAGAAAAGCATTCCGATGTTTGATTGTTCTGGATATAATTCCTGACTGGAGGCAAATCTATATGATCCCCATTCCTTGGATCATCCCCACTACCCAACAGAGACACACAAAAAAGGAGAAAGACTTGGAGGGAAGAAGAACACACTTTAATTTTCAAGGGAGCTGTGTAAAAGTCAGTAGAATGAATGTAAGCGCTGAAAAGTGTGGAGCTGAAAGAGTTTGGTTTTGATATCCCGCTTTATCACTACCCTAAGGAGTCTCAAAGCGGCTAACATTCTCCTTTCCCTTCCTCCTCCACAACAAACACTCTGTGAGGTGAGTGGGGCTGAGAGACTTCAGAGAAGTGTGACTGGCCCAAGGTCACCCAGCAGCTGCATGTGGAGGAGCGGGGAATCGAACCCAGTTCCCCAGATTACGAGTCCACCACTCTTAACCACTACACCACACTGGCACAAGAGGAAGTGGGAAAGAGGATAACCCTTTAAACTTCCTCCTTAAGCTAAGTAATTTTACAAAGAAACAAAGTTAGCCGCCCTCTTCACTTCTTGATCTAGGGGTAAATGAATGGGCACTGGGGAAAGACTTCAATGAATGCCATTGGGAACCATGCCAGCAATTCCTTACTTGTGTTACTTCATACACATTATCAGTATCATCAGATAACCAAACACTAGTCTGGTCTCAAATACTAGAAGCTGAATAATAAATAAATAAATAAATAAATAAATAAATAAATAAATAATAATTTATTATATCCTACCCTCCCTAGCCGAAGCCGGGCTCAGAGCGGTTAACAACAATAAAAGTAACACAGCATTCTAAAATCAATTCATTCTAAAATTAATTCAGAATCAAATTAATGGCAACCATTGGGCTAGAGTTCTATGAGGATTACCAAAGGAGGGGGTCAGACTGTGCCTTGGCTGTTAAAATGTTTTCTGCTGTCCCTCAGCAAAAAGTAGAGTGGCTTGCCACAAGGTAATGACAGAAAGGAACATTAAATGTAAAACCAACAATAATAAAATGGATAAAACAGCAGTTAAACAACAGCGACAACTAACTCAGGGCAGTGAAATAAACACAAAATGCACAGCTAGCTTGCACTAGATGATAAAAAGCCTGGGGAAATAAAATTTTAAAAAATTGTTGGACCAGATGGTCAAGTGATAGAACATCAATATAATGGAGGGCAGACTGCATGCCTTCTTCCTTGTGTATCAGTGCTATGGTATCGATAAAGTTTCTACTAAATCTTTTTATTGTCTTTCAAGTGGAGAGAGGGGTGGATAGGCTACGTAGATGTGGTCTGCTGCAATGCTGGCCCTCCATTTGCCATTGAGCTGCCAACTGATGAGCTTAGCCATTTGTGAAATCGAAGAATCCAAAGGGCAGTGGAGACAAAGATACCATTTTTAACTATTTCAGTAGGAAAGGCAGGGAGCTTTCAGGAGTCTGAAATTCAGCGGAGGTATCCATGGCTGGGCCTAGGTTGACAGATGAAATACATGATGAATATGAGACTGTAAAAAGGGGGAAGCGTTGGTATAAGCAGTGCCGCCACGACAAGGCCCTTCCCCATAGGCACTGGTTATAGAGGAGGTAAAAAAAGATTCAAAAAATTACATGGGGTCCAAGTAATACAGCACGAGAGGAGACATTTCCCAATGGTCAGATGGTAAAGGGTTTTTGCTACACTTCCTTCCTGTGCAAGCGTTGCCTTTTTCCTAGGAAACATGGCACTGGCATCAGCAGGAGTCATGCGAGACCTTCACCCATACATTATCAGAGTCATTCAAGACCAGATCATAGGGACTGAATTTCCGCACTGCTGTTGGTAATGTCTGAACTGGGTGATGTTCAAGTGATGCAGGAATGGTGAGAATCTGCCTTTCTCTCCATGTTATCTGGCATGTAAAGTTGGTTTGATAAGACCATGATGCGCTTCCTTGCAGCACCTGCAAGCGCCATTAAATCAAGTGGAGACTTGTTCACCCTAATATATATATTTTAACTGTGGTTTTTAATCCAGCTGCTGCAACTGGTCACACTTTAACTGCTCTTCCTGATTTCTGCCCATGTATTCGTAACAAATAATGAAGTCGCAGAAGAAGCAAATGCGTACTAAGAAAAAAAGAAAAAAGAAAAACTTACGGCTGCAGTTCGGTCCACTTCGCAGCGGCTACTTAAAATGAAACAGGCCTCAGCATCATCCATCCTAAAAATCATACGAAAACGTTAGCAAAACATTCTCATGGGCCTATTGATTTCAATGGAGACATCATCAGAAGTGTGGAGAAGTACTTTAACAATCTGTGGGCACATGTGTTTTGTGAAACATGGGGAAATATTCAAAAATAGCATTCAATCTGCTATTATTAAACAGCATTAAATCTTTAAGGAAATGGCGCAGGAGCAAAATTCTTCTCTGGTATTCAGATTTCCAAACAGATTTAAAACCAGTAAAAAACTAACCGGGTGCTACAATTCCAGAACAGTTACAGAATCACATTGTTCAATTGTATTTGTCCCTAATTAAATTACTGGATGTTTTATTTCCCGCCTGTTTCCTAATGACCCAGCATGGAATTTGTAAAGCCAATGTATCTTTCTGGATAGAACTTGCCAAGGATTTGTATGAATACACCGTGAAACAGTCAGGTAAGCAAATCAAACTTGAAAGGGACTTTGGCTAAAATAAGATTAGCGGTTCTGCTGCAACATTAGAAGAAGGAACAGAAATGGCATGTTTTTGTAAGTGTAACGGCAAAGCTTGACTTGTGGCAAACACAAGGGGCAAAAGCTAATATCAATGGCTCAGGGCAAATTCAAATGTTTCTTATTCATTTAAAGCATTTATTTCCTGCCTTTACTTAAAAGGAAAAAAGAAAGCTCACGCTGGCTAACAAAAGCAAGTTAAAAATAAATAAAACCTAAATGACTAAAGGCAGTGAGAAAAGGAAAAAGTTACAAATACCTTTATTGGCATTACGAATTAAAACATTTCATAACACTAGGATAAATTTAAAAGGGATAGGAGAGAGGCTGTTGAGGATCACAAGGTGCTTGATTGTTCTGCCTGTTTGTTCCCTAGAGGGATGATTCATTAAGAACCCTTTCGGGTAAGATGGAGGTTAAAAAGGAAGCCACTGGGGCAGTAACGTCCTTGTCCCTATCCGCTAGGAGGAACCTCATTTGGCTTTCTCTCAGAGCCATGGGTCGCAGGTCATTGGTCAGCATCTGTTTGCGGCGTCTGCTGTGCAAAGGGCAGTCCAAAAGAATATGGTCCAGTGAATCTGGTACTCCTTGATTACAGGCACACAGGCGGGCTTGATAAGGAATTTGCAAGTATCCACTTGTGGTCACTGTGGAGGGGAAAGCATTTACCGTATTTTTCGCCCTATAGGACGCACACACATTTCCCCTTCAGACCTGATCTGAAGGCGGGTGGCGGGGAGAAGAGCGCTTCTCCCCGCTGCCTGCCTTCAAAAGCTCCGGGGACAGCTGGGAAGCGCAGCGCGTCTTCCCACTGTCCCCTGACCTGGTCTGAAGGCGGGCAGCGGGGAGAAGAGCGCTTCTCCTCGCTGCCGGCCCCACAAGCGCCTGGGGGAGAAATAATTCCCCCCCTTTATTTTCCCCCCAAAAAACTTGGTGCGTCCTATGGGCCGGTGCGTCCTATGGGGCGGAAAATACGGTACTCTTGCCAGCATAAAAGCTCTTCGCTGGGAAGGAAGTAGTAGGTCTTTTAGGGAATTGGCACCAAATCTGTAGGATGTAGTTATGTCTAGGGCCTCCGGAGAACAGGGTCTCGGAGTGTGAGGAGACAAATGCTGTTTTTCATGCTTGATTGTTTGGAGTATGTAGCTAGGAAAAGGTTTAAAAGGCAGATTTGTCCAGCAACACACAGAGACCAACACTGCAAGTGAGAACACAAACTGTGCAGGATCTTAAATCTATTCACATTCCAAAAGGCATCCTAGGAAGGAAGCTGTTGGCGATTTTGCTCAGGGAGCTGAGCTTAGAATCCAAAGCCCACCCATCCCATCAGTTGTGGAAGCAAATCTTATTTTTACACCCCTTCCCAAATCTCCCTGGTCCTCTCCATCAGCATCACACACCCTGTCCTCTCTTAGTTCCCCCACCCCACCACCATTAAACACTCGAAAACAAGAGAGCCAAAATTACTTCCAGGAAAGAATGGAACAAATGGCTTTGAAAAGAATTCCCATGCAGCTGCTTTTAACAAAAGATGAACTACACAGCCACTAATTTTCGCAAGCCTGACATGCAACATTTTTCAATAGAGAGACTACCGAATAGTATGCAAATTGGGATAATGAGCAACAGAATAGATTCAGGGTGGGTTTTTTGTGTGTTACTAGCAGCCAAAACATACCTAACACTTCATTTACTAGAAGGGTTACTGGCTTCTTATCTTTTACTATCTCCTCATTATATAGAGAGACAGACATACTGCTGCTTAGCAACTTCCTGGTTTATTGGGCTACATTTCTTATAATATGGCCTATTAAGCTCCCACAATGCTGCCTCTCATACAAAGCATTAAAAATGCTCTTGTGAAGGTACATTCGATTACATGTTTTGCAGGGAGAAAAGTACATCCTTGTGGTTGCATGGCTTTGGGGTTATTATAGGATAAAATTCCTGTGATTGTGTTTAAGGGACAGGTCTTTTGGTACAAGTTCACTGTGTAGCACAAAGAACATGACAAAAATGGTGAATCTTGGACTGCATTTTTAAAGCACCATTTCTCTCCCAAAATATATAGAAACTATTTCTTTCTACTTTTTTCTTTTCAAACAGCAGCGAGAATACTTATTGCAAAGTACTGGAAGACACAAGATTTACCCACACTGGAAGAATGGCAGATGAAGGTGATGGACTATATGGAACTGGCGGAGATGACTTGGATTCCAAGTTGTTTGAGTACCAAAGCATTTGAGAACCAAGGTACCACTGTACTTGTTATTGTCATTCTGTTCTCAAGGAAAACTAACCCCATCCACCTTCAATGTATCAGCAGCACTGTGGGGTGTCAGTCTTCTTTGACCCCAATCACCAAAGATGACATCACACTCAAGGTATTTTGGTGTGATGTGATAAATATGTCTATTATACAGGCACTATGTGTTAGGGAGTCATGATGGCTGGCAGCTCGCTATTCAGTGGTAAACTGAGGTTTGCCTGTGCATAGTACATAAAGGTATCCCCAAGGGTGTACTTTTCCCTAAGGCAATTCCACTAATTCAGATGAAACCAAATTAAGAAATTATATATAAAACACATTCACACATTCTCTGCTTTGGCCCAAAGACCCATGGAAACAGTTTTGAAAGCAAAACACAACAGGAATAAAGTAAGAAGAAAGTCCAGAGAAATTTTGGACCAATAAAATTCAAAACTGATTTGCTAATCCTTAGAATTTCAAACATTGTTTTTTGACACTGTTAGGAGAAATGACTGTTCCCAACGATATAAGATTTCAAGCAACTCCTGCTTTCCATTTTGCCTCTAGCAGTTATTAATGAAGATAAAAATAATGTAACAAACAGCAAAAGAAAGGGGGGAAAGAAATAAAAAATAGAACTGATATTTTTGACCTACTTAGCTCTTAGCAGATCCTGATCCTTCAGTGCGGAACCTTGAAGATAGATAACTCTTTGGGACCACATTGGAATCTGGAGCACTCTTCGAACCTGAGCATCCATCTCAGTGGGGCATAATATGACCACATAGTAGTCCTGCAAAAACACATATGAGAAGGAACAGAAGAAGAGCAAAAGAGAATGCTATATGGATATATCTTTTGCCAGTAGAACACTGTTTTGTTTTTTAAAACTTTTAGTAGCTAAAAATCTGGTGGTGTGAAAAGAACATTTATGACAGGTAATTTATTTTAACTTTCAGGTTCTCTAAAAAAAGGAAACGAAAGGAAATGGTCCCATGCTATTTAGTTCCATGGTGATTTCACTGATGCCAAAGCTGCCCAGCAAGATATTGAAGTAGAAAGCTATGCACCACGCTGTGATGAATTCAAATCACTTCCCAAAGTGTTTGGTTTTTTTAAGCATTGCATGCCATGGAAAACAATCTGTGTTCTGCAGAAGGAAACATGAATTTTACATGTTCCCAAAGACATCTCACCATTCCAAAATAAAAATAGAAATAGCTATAGGCACTGAACAAGCTCCAGAAACCCCAACAAAAGGAAAAATTGGGTGCTCTATCGGTTTTGAACATCTGGAATAACATAGTTTTTTGTTAATGCTGCTTGACTTTTGATTTAGCTAAAGCTGCTGGTCTACTGAAGGTGGCCAAGATGAACATTTCAAGTCATGCCTGATCTAAACGTTTTAGAAGATAGTCTGCAGGAGATTTCTGCCTCAACTGATATTCTGATCTGCTTGGATTACCTGTAGCCTAGGATGAGCATAGAATTCGTTTAGGAAATCCATGAGGAGGTCAATCTTAAGAGAACTGACACACAACACCACGTGTTTTTCTGTCTGAGCTCTGTGTCGACTATAATTTCCACCTGATTTTTGCCTTTCCATCCACAAATAAGCAAGCTGTTCAAACTGCAAAATAAAAAATAAAAAATGGAAAGGTAAGAGTGATTTATGTATTTTTCAGTGCAAATGTCAAATACGCAGATCCCCTGGAGCCAACAGAGCAGACACAGAGAGACCTTATGGTCCAGTTGCCTAGAAACTTTTATTTGTGGTGTTTTAATCTGATGATTTATGGCTCATTCACACATTGATTCAGCACTCAGTGAATGACAGCCATGCATGGAAGAACTGTCAGCAAGAGTTATAATATATATGTTATATGAAAGCAAAAAGCAAATCCAAATTCACAGGTTTAGAGGCTCCCTTCACAGTAAAGCTTCTTAGTTATGCAAAGGTAGGACTTCAGGCAGAGGATTGGGCTATAGCCTAATCTACTTGCATTTGGAAGGCTAGAATTTTTGATATGGTTTTCCAACTGCATTCTGAAGAAGTACAATCCTTGAACTGAAAGGTATGTTTCCAAATGTGAAGAGTGGCTCTGATAGGAGAGGCAAGATTGTGGGGTGAAATGTCTTGAGCCACAGAGCACAGTGTGCATGCTTGCCAAAGGCTAAATCATAAAGAACTGCAAATGATGCCAGGAGTTTATTATACTGTTATGGGTTTCTAATACAGTCGTTCATTGGAAGTCAAATGGAATCCATTCCGGAAGTCCGTTCGACTTTCAAAATGTTCGGAAACCAATCCGAAGCCACAGAAGCTCCATCGGATGTTTGGGTTCCGAAGAACATTCGCAAACTGGAACACTCACTTCCGGGTTTGCAGCGTTCGGGAGCCAAAACGTCCAAGTATCAAGGCATTTGGGATCCAAGGTGGAACTGTACTAAACAAATCCTCATCATTAAGCAAATATCATCGACAAGAACCACCATCAAAATGCCCAGGGTTTCTAACTTGCAATGACTTTGTGTGCTTGTGCCTTGTGTGCTGAAACACACAGTGAACTCCTTATTGGATCAAAGGCTACAGCTGCACCATACATTTAAAGCAGTATCATTCCACTTTAAACAGTCATGGCTTCCCTCAAAGAGTCCCTCCAAGAATTTTATTGCCTTTATTACTGTAAGCTAATTTGAGAAGCTTTTGCAGAAGAATAGCCAACAAATATCCTAAATAAATAAAAGTAATTAATTGGTTGACTGTGGTTGACAGGTTCCAATTCCCCCTGTCTCGTATGGAGTGGGGAATATTATACCTGCATTTTATGTTAAAGATGAAATAAACATTGAAAATTAAATTCCTAGTGAAGTTTTTTTAAAAAATAATTGTTTCCAATCTGTATCAAATTTCTGAACTCAGTGCATCATTCTGTGTGGATGCAATGAGTTTATGTTTTAATCACATTCCACATTTTTACTGCACTGTCGAATGACTCGCGATGCCTTCGGCTAAGCAATAAAGATCTGGATTGAAATTAAAACCAGCCAGAGATGTGCTTGGAAAATAAATAAATAAATGGGAAGTGAGTGTGTGAGAGGGGTGGAGTTTCAGGTTAGGAGTGAGGAGAAGCAAGGAATCAGCAACACACACACATACACATTCTGCTTCCGAAACAGGTATTTTTGGTTCCTCGTCCAGTCTCTCTTAAACTAAACAAGAAATACAGAATACAAGTTAAATACATTTTAATTCATTAAATACCTCTCAGTAACAACAACTAATTTCTTCCGAAAATAGGGTATAGGATCTAGGGATTTAAACTAGCCAATGTACACTCAGAGTGGACCAAGTGAAATCAGTGGGCATGATACTAGTTTACTCTATTGATTTCAAGGGAACTGCACGGAATATGATTAACCGTATTTTTCGCTCTATAGGACGCACTTTTTCCCCTCCAAAAATGAAGGGGAAATGTTTGTGCATCCTATGGAGCGAATGCAGGCTCCTTGGCTTCAGCGAAAGCAACGCGAAGCCTCCAAAGCGCAGAGGGAGCGCTCCCTCCGCGCTCCGGAGGCTATGCGTTGCTTTCGCTGAAGCCTGAAGAGTGAGAGGGGTTGGTGCGCACCGACCCCTCTTGCTTTCCAGGCTTCTGGGATAGCCGCCTGAAGTCTTTGGAGCGCAGCAGGACCTTGCGCTGCGCTCCAAAGGCTTCGGGGTTAGCTGCGCAAAGCCTCCGCAGGGCAGCGGGATGAAGGCACCCCGCTGCCCTGCAGAGGCTTGAAAGTCTGTCCCCGAAGCCAGAACAGAGAGACGGAGTGCTGCGCAGCACTCCGTCTCGCTGTTCTAGCTTGGGGATGGCGGGGCTTTATGGGGAAACCCCGGGCTTCCCCCTTCAGCCCCCACACTCATTTGATTCAGAATATTTTTTACTTGCTTTCCTCCTCTAAAAACTAGGTGCGTCCTTCGCTCGGGTGCATCCTATAGAGCGAAAAACACAATAGTTGCATACATCCATACATGCTTCAATGGAACAAAGACAAAAGCTCACTCATCCCAAGCAGATGTGAAAAATGTATTCAATGCTTGTTTCAATGTCAACAGAAACCTTCTCCAGTAAAGAGGAAACACCAGAAACTGATGCTTTGTACATAAATGGAAGAATACGTATATGGCTATTTTGAAAAGATGGTGTAAAATGGACATTTCACTTTTAACAATGCATCCCTATTTACCCCACCCCTTTTTTATAACGAGGGGAAAAAATTACCTGTATTGGCAACACCACAAGGGCAACACAGATCATAATGACAACGAGCAGTTTTGAAGGCCAGATCTTGGGAGTAACATCCCCAAAGCCCACAGTGGAAAATGTCACTATGCAGAAATAAAGGGAGTCAAAGAGTGTCAGCTTGTTTCCTGCTCGTTCCAGATGTTGAATTCCACAAATACTATGTAAAGAAAAGAATGAATAAAAACAAAAACAACACCTGTAACTAGGGGTAGATACATACTAGGACAATTATGCTTGGAAGGGGATCAAATCTTTGGCACACATCGAAATACACTTGTTGTCAACATAGTAATATTTCACAATTCACAAACATGGCAGAAAATTTTGGTTCCTTCTTTCCTTTTCTTCCCCACCTGGCCATTAGAAGAACTTGTAGCCAGGAACTGCTCCAGAATGTCAGTATTTTGCAGGAGGGATTCAGTTGCACATCAGAATTTTAGGTTTGGGGAATAAATGCACTCTGCTACCCTGGTGCAACGAGTCCACTTTTTAAAAAGGGCTTTCTGTGCTTTGGAAAGTGTTGTGGAAATGAACTCAGGGCCGCCTTTAGAATATGCACCGCCAGGGTGCACAGATCCACCCAGCGCCCCCAAATTTAGTATAGCCCCCAAATTAACTTTTATTATGCCTTATGTCACTATTATCATTTGATAAATAATGCTCCAAATGCATGGCTCCAAAAGGAGTTTGTGTGTGTGCTTTGTTTAAAACCAGCTTTTCTAAAGAAGACAAAGAACACATTGGGAATCGGTGTAAAGACTCCACGCATGTGCTTACGGTCACAGGGAGGTGTCTGAAAGATGAGACGGGCGGGCATTGTGCGCATGCGTAGGGGAGCCATCTTGGGCAGTCTTTCATTGTGGGAGCAACCTTATTTCTAGAGGAGCTGGGAGGGCCCTTGCGAGCGCACAAACACGAGTTCTTCTTGGGAAGGTTCTGGAGCCTGTGTGCGCTTCCGTCGCTAGATAGGCGCGTTCTCTTTCTGTCTGTCTCTCCCGCTTTCCTGTCACTCCCCCTCCTCCCGGCTTTGGTGAGTGAGGCTTTCCAGAGAACTCTCCCTGCAGCAGCATTAGCAGGCAGGTGGCGCAAGATCAGTCATGTCAAAGGTGCTGCTGACCCCACTGCCGCAAAGCAGCTCAATACAATATGCTTCAGCGACAGGGGACTGGCGCCCCCCAGAATTCAGCGCCCAGGTGCCCTGCACCCCTTGCACCTCCAGGTAAAGACGGCCCTGAATGCACTAAAAATTGTGAGGTGAAGGAAGAATTGCAAGCACCCTGCAAGCAAATACAAACACTTATTGTTGTATAGCAGCCCCACAAACAAAGCAAAACAAATACTCAATAAAGACGGGATATAATGTAACCTTCGTTAAGTTTTGCGCAAGCTAATCAGGATGAATGCGGAGGGGCTCTCAGAACTTGTACTCAAGTGTACCCCCACCCTGCAAATACTTTTCCTTCTTGTGCTACATCAGTTTAGATAGCAGACTGCTGTTTTTCTAGTTATGACCAGAGGAGCAGGGTAGGAAAAAAAGAAAACTTTAAATAAATAATGTACTCCATTTCATGCTATGTTCTGTGTGTTCTTTAAAAGTGACTTCTGGGTGTCTTTAAAACTCATGTATTTCAATATTAACACATTTTCCTTTTACCCCTTTACAGTGGTACCTCGGGTTACATACGCTTCAGGTTACATACACTTCAGGTTACAAACTTTGCTAACCCAGAAATAGTACCTCGGGTTAAGAACTTTGCTTCAGGATGAGAACAGAAATCGTGCTCCGGCGGCGCAGCAGCAGAAGGAGGCCCCATTAGCTAAAGTGGTGCTTCAGGTTAAGAATGGTTTCAGGTTAAGAACAGACCTCCAGAACGAATTAAGTACTTAACCCGAGGTACCACTGTATCTCAAAAGCTGATAGACACATTGGAATTGGTAGGATCTACTAAGCAGCTGGAATAAAAGTTGTACAAGGGACTCGTAATTTTCTCCCCATTCCTGATATTTTTTTTTAGAGAAATTACATTTTCTGTTAGAGAACTTGCTGCATTACAGCCATGTTTAGGGATTTAAACCACCATATTTTGTTAATCAATGCTGTGAATTTGACTGTGCAGTGAAGAAATGCTATTATTATCAGCTTATGTCCCTTGTTCAGTTAGGTGGAATTGTGTGATCCCAGAGGCAAGACCAGGTGAATAAAAATTACCAGGTGAGTAAAAAATTACCAGGTGCTGAAGATGAACTGCCAGGGCTTTTAAACGTGGACACAGAATGGGCATGTATATGGATTTTGCAAGCAAATGCAATTAGCCAACTTGCCTCATTCCTAGGTTCTACATGCTGTATTTATGCTTAGTAGAGAACATCAGGTGCTGCGTACACAACAATGGAAATCAATTCTTCAAATGAACTTTATTTGAAATGCCTAACTTTGACACTGCAACTGTTAGTGAATTTCATATATTAAGATGAATCTGCAAAGGACTGATACATATGCATAATAACACATCACCCAATGGGTAATCACAGTGACTTGTGGCTAAATGCACAAACTGCTTCTGTAAGAAAAGGGTTAAGAGATGAAATGAAAGCTCTGCAGAGAATTGTTTCATACAGGCAAGCCATTATGCTTGCTGTGTGATGCACATGCACTTGTAAGAAATCCTTACAAAGAAATGTAATTTTACCAGTAGATATAATACTGGTTTATGGCGTTCTGCTCTCCATGGCGTATGGATCAGTCCTATATGCAATACATATGACATATGTTGTGCAAACAGACTATAATTCAGGTAGAGCATGCATGCTGCATGCAGAAGGACCAATGTTCAATGCCAAGCATCTTCTGTTAATGGTAAAAGTAAAGGTAAACATGGGTGGTGCAGTGGTCTAAACCACTGAGCCTCTTGGGCTTGCCAATCGAAAGGTCTGGGGTTTGAATCCCCACGACGGAGTGAGCTTCCGTTGCTCCGTCCCAGCTTCTGTCAACCTAGCAGTTCAAAAGCATGTCTGTGCAAGTAGATAAATAGGTACCGCTGTGGCATGAAGGTAAACGATGTTTCCATGCACTCTGGTTTTCGTCATGGTGTTCTGTTGCACCAGAAGCGGTTTAGTCATGCTGGCCACATGACCCAGAAAGCAGTCTGTGAACAAATGCCAGCTCCCTTGGCCTGAAAGCAAAATGAGCGCCGCAACTCCATAGTCACCTTTGACTGGACTTAACCGTCCAAGGGTCCTTTACCTTTTCTTTTCTTTTTACCTTCTGTTAAAGCAGAGGGTCCCAAACTTATTTGGCCTACCACCCCTTTTTTTGAGAAAAATTACTCAATGCCCCCCAGAAGTCTACCTTCTTTAAGCAAACAAATGAAGATGCAGTAACAAATTTGCATTCTTTTTTGTATCAATATGTCTACCTACATCCTTGGAAAAGGGACCCCTGACCATTAGGTCCAGTCGTGGCCGACTCTGGGGTTGCGGCGCTCATCTCGCTTTATTGGCCGAGGGAGCCGGCGTACAGCTTCCGGGTCATGTGGCCAACATGACTAAGCCGCTTCTGGCGAACCAGAGCAGTGCACGGAAATGCCATTTACCTTCCTGCCGGAGCAGTACCTATTTATCTACTTGCACTTTGATGTGCTTTCAAACTGCAGGAGCAGGGACCAAGCAATGGAAGCTCACCCCGTCATGGGGATTCGAACCACCAACCTTCTGATCAGCAAGTCCTAGGCTCTGTAGTTTAACTCACAGCGCCACCCGCGTCCCATAAAAGGATGTGTCAGAAGTGGGATCTCCATCCTATAACACAGTAAAGAAAGATGAAGTTGTAAATAGGCGGACAAGCTATGATCCACTTCCTGAGCCTCGGTGAAGCTGAAAATGGTTCACCCAAGCCCAGGAAAACCCCTGGCCTCCAACATGAGGCATGTTCACTGTCCCACAATGGCGCCCAACCTGGTGGTGTCATTACATAACAGGAGGAATGGTTTTTCAAAATTTCCTTCTCTTCTTTCCTTATGCTTCCACCGCCCCCTTATTTTTATTCAATGCTCCCCCCAAGTCTACTACTGCCTCTCTGGGTCCTTCGAGTGTCCCCCAGGGGGTGGTATCCTCCATTTTGGGAATCTCTGTGTTAAAGGATCAGGTAGCAACAGACACAGAAAGACCACATCCAAATAATGGGACTGCCACATGCAGTCTTAATGGTACTATTTCAGCAGGAAACATTTTCCCGAGCAGGCAGGATTTGTTCAGTGAATGCTATTTGGATTGGAAATATGCAATGCACTACCAAGAGGCAGCTTATGTCTGATCAAGATTATGATGGCTCACTGACTTTGCCCACAGCATAAAATTAGGCGGTATTCAGATTCTAGTGTGTATATAGAAATTCATTCAAGCCTACAGCATACTTCATATCCCCTCCCCTCCATCTTATCCCCAGGAAGTCAGTCAGCAATCCATTTATTGGAAGGGAATTCAAGCATGGCAAACTTGGATCTAATAGCTTGTGTCAGGGAACTGCCATCGGAAGGACAGGAGGTGCAAAGGCTCACTGAGGTTGAGAGAGACATAGCAGCTGAAGAGGGAACCAGTAGGGGGAGAGGAGGAACTCCAAGGGAAAGTGAGTCGGAGGGATGGCTCAGAGACGCTTCCAGCGAAAACAGTGGGGAGGTCTCAGGACCTCCTATAGGGACACCCACTCCTCGCCGGAAACTGTCACGCCGAGAGTCCAGAAGACGTGTTTCCGTTAAGGAGCTTTTATGTTGGAAACGATTTCGAAAGCAACCACTTTCGGATTCTGCTAGCGACTGATGCAGCCATGCCGGAGGGGCTCCGTCACAGGCAGAGGTTTGAAAACCTGATCAAACTCTGAGGGACTTGCATTTTACGCACAAGCAGCTCATCATCCCATCACAGCTTGCCTTTATACCATATCCCAACATTTACATAAGCAATTCTGTAGACAAGGTTGGATACCTATGGCAGAAATACCTCTTTTGTTGTCGTTTCCCCAATGAAACTAATTTATGCTTATTTTTAAATTGTTCTTTCCCCCCAAAAATTATGCCATATTCTCTTTTGGCTGTGGATGTGCCCATTACACTTAGATTGACCTTGGGCAGAGTTAACAGGTCTTTTCATAAATTTCAGAAG